TCGTGCTTGATTACATTGGTCCATTGCTGAAACCAATGACTGGGCGTTGGCCCAAACTCGTCCTCCCATCTGAAAGCCCCGTCGCCCGACTGGTGCATCGGAGGCCGCCCCTCTTCCCTAGGCCTTGAGATCTCACCCCTCTCATCCCCGCTGCTGATTTTTATGATTTCTCGCACATCCTCCTCCTCGTCCCCCTCGTCTTCACTCTGTATGGGGCTATACCCACAAACAAGGTTCTTTGGATCGTAGGTAAAAGGGATCTCTGTCCCCGTCCCATACCCCTCGCAACTGCCGCGCCTGCTTCGTCCTTCAAGCGGGCTCTCCCTTTTCTCCTCGTCCTCCTCACGTTCGTCGCGCATACCTTGTGCCCCCTCGCTTTCCCCATGCCAAGTCTCACGTCGTTCGCCCCTGTTGGCCCCTTCCTCGTTAGAGACCCTAGCCTTATCTCCCACTTTTGTGTTGCCTCCTTCTTTCACATTTGCCCTTCCCTTTTCGCCCTCACTGTTAGATGATATTTCTATACCTTTTCCCTTGCGGAGGGGTGAGGGTTTCCTACACAAGCATTTCATTCCACCCCTGCCTACCACTGGCCCGCCCATGAGCCCAATGTACAATTTTCTCTTCGTTGTCCTCCTCCCTTGGCTTGGTCCAGCTTCTTCCCCTCCGGTAGGCCTGTTGATTGCCCCGCTGTCCTTCTCGTTGCCGAATTTCATTTTTTGTCTTTTCTCGTTTTACTTCTAAGACCTGTATAACAAAACAACACCCGCAATGTCCCTCATACACTCGCGCCTCCCCCCCCCTTAGGCCGGTAGACACTCCCAAAATGTACCCCGTATTCCTCGCATCACGCCTCTTTTATACATGCGAATGCGTCGTTTGTGATGACCCCATTTTTTTTTTTTTTCCGTCAAAAACTATGGTACAATGCCCCAAACATCCCTTCCCGTTGTCACACAAGCCACATATTGCAAACCCCCAAGTCATGCTGCCTTTCAACCTTAGTCAGTCCAAGCCAAAGCGCCAGTCCCAAAAAAAATGACAGTCCCACGAGCATGGTCAGAGACAAACCATAGTGTGGGCAAGGTTCTGGTCAGTCTTTAGCTTGTGGCTCCTCTGTTTCCTTATCTTTGACCTCTTGAAGCCATTGTTCCACTGGGTCCCGACTTAGAGACCTGATCAGTCGTTGCCCCGGGAAGGGCCCTTTCAATCCAGTTCCATCCAAATCTTCCAGTTCGAAGGTGTTCAGTCCCACCCGCTTGGCGACCCGGTAGGGGCCTTTGAACCTCCTTCCCAACTGTCTCGACCAAGTACTTTCTAGTGCTGAGTTCCTTAGCAATACCATCTCCCCCACCTGAAGTGGCTCCTTTCTGACATTCCTAACCTGGTCCCATCTTGTTTTGTCCCTCATTCTGCTGTCTAGTACCCGGTTGGCGATGTCTTCCAGGACCTCCTCATTCTTAAGGACTTGTTGATATCTTGCCTCGATTAACTCTTCAGTGGTCATTTGCGAATCATCATCTAACCTATTCCAGGTAGGTATCAAGGCTTCCACAGGAAAGTCGATCTCTCTTCCGTACCAAAGCTCTGCCGGGATACATTCCGTTGTCCTTTTAGGGGTCATATTCTCTGCAAAGACAGCTTGCTTAAGATACCTAGGTCAGTTCCCCAGATGGTCCGCTGCGAGCTTTGCAATCGTGTTCTTCAATGTTCGGTGCCCCCTTTCAAGAGGTGCGTTGGCTTCGGGGTGATATGGATCGATGAGTTTGATCGGTACGCAGAGTCTCTTAAGCATCCCCAATACTTCTTGGTTCACAAATTTCGTTCCATTGTCTGCTATAAACCTCCTGACGAACGGGTGCCTTAAGTAGAAGTCTTCTATCCAGTCCGCCACACTCCTCCCTGTCTTTTTCTTGAGGGCGACTGACTCCACGAACCCACTCAAGTTGTCTCGCGCATCCAGGATATACCTGTACCCATCCGTTGATACAGGCATGACCGCAAGGTCGAGGTGGACCAGATGTCCCGGCCCTAGTACCCCCATTGGTCTAAGCGGCTTGAAGACTCGTACCGAGCTTCGTTCTTGGCAAATAAGGCAAGTCTGGCAGTATATGGTGACCATGCCTGCCATGCCTGACCAATAATAGAGCGGTGTTATCTTTGCAAGTGTCCCTTTGGAAGACCGATGACCTCCAGCTAGCCCGTCGTGCATTGCCTGGATAACGTCTACTTGCCTAGACCTTCCGCACACAACCCTTCTGGGCATAGCACCTTCCTCCCTCCGGAACAAATGCCCGCCCCTTAGGACGTACCTTTCGGCTTCTTCTCTTGCCTTAATACTGACTTTCGTAGGTTGTTTGTTTCCTACCAACAACAAACCGATCTCCCGAAAGAGCCCTTCGTATGATTGGACATAGAAAAACTCCTCTCCTTCCTTGCCCTCATCCTTTCCTTCCTGCATCTGATTTACCACCCATTGCAACTCTTTCCTTTTCCAGGATTCCACTAAGCTCATCATTGCTTCCCGGCCCCCTTCGACCGCCATTGCTATCAGCTGCTCTTTCGGTCCTACTATCGCTCCCCATGAGTCCTTTTCTTCTCTGCGTCCTCGAGTGGTGACTGGTCCTTCTCTAAGTTCTGCTACTACGGCTGGTGCCCCTTTCTCCAAAGTCTGGATCAATAGTTCTCCTGATGTGCATCCCTCGCCCATCATTTTGTTATCCACCGCGAGCGTCCCTCCTTTGTATTCGAGGAATGCGTCTATGAGCTCTGCATCCTCCACCCCTTCGGGAGTGATGCAAACCCAACTCAGCCCATCTGCCTTGTTGCGGATTCCAGCAATCCGTTCGATCTTGTAATCGAATTGCCAGATGAATCCTACTCATCTCCTTACCGTCGGATCTATAGGCCTGTAATTCTTCAGAGCTTTTGCGACATTCGTCGGATCGATCCTTAAGATGAACCGCCTCCCAAATAGGTAGGCTTGAAAGGTCTTAAGGCAATGCAGGATGGCTAGGACTTCCTTCTTGAATTGCGAGTACCGCCGTTCTTGCGGAGTTCAAGGTTCTACTTTCGAATCTAATCGGCCTCTCTTTTCCTCCCTCATCCCTTTGAATCAACACACCTCCTACGGCCAAAGGTCCTTCATCCGTCTCTAGGATGAAGGGTCGTCCCACTTCGTCATTAAAACAAGGCGCGGACAGGGCGACTATCTCAGATGTCAATATGTCCTTGAGTCTTTGGACAACTCCTTCCCGCTCCTCCTTCCAATCCATGGTTCCTTCTTCCCTGATCATAGCCCCGATAGGCTCAGCGATCTTGACAAAGTTCTTAATAAAGATCCTCCAAACGCCGACCACGCCTAGGAATGCCCTTACCTCCGTCGTCGTGCGCAGTGGCATCGGCTACTGTAATATCTTGTCGGTCTTTGCCGGATCCGGCTTCTTGCCATAAGCACCGCAACGAAATCCTAGTACAGTCACCTCCGGTACTGCTAGGATACTCTTTGGTCCACTAGCCGTAATGTTGTATACTAGGAACCGGCGGAGTAAGTCCTTGATGTCCTGCAGATGGTCCGACACAAAACGTCGGATCCCTGGATGAACTTCCGTCTCGTCCTTTTCCTGTGCGCCTTTGATGGGATTGTCATCGATGTAAGGTTCACATTTTTCTGGGAACATGTCCCCGACCACGACGAGCATCCTGCGTTGCACTTCGGCCACCGCGTTTGTGAATCCCATAGGTGTCACCTGCATCTGTAGCTGGCCTACGGGGGTGTGCATAGAGGTGTATGGCCTGTCCCGAACATCCAATGGAAGCTGGTCGTACCCTGAGTACAGATCTATCAGGGAGTAAATGCTCCGACCGGCATGCGATTCTGCTAATAAGTCAGCCAGAGGTAGCGAGCCAGCATCCCGGATGGTTACCGCATTCAACTTCTGCAGGTCCTGAATCCACCTTAGTGTCTTGTTAGGCTTCCGAAAGACGAACCACCGATTTGCGTATGGCGATGCCGTAGGCTCCACAAGGAAGGAGTTCATCTTCGCTCGGAGGAGGTCTGTCACTTTTCCTGCTATCCCAAATTCATAGGATGGCCCCTTGTCATTCCAGCACTCATGTTCTACCGTGTGGATTCTGACCGGAGGGATCAACTTCGCATCCAGTCGTCCCTTCTGGTGATCACTAAAGGCAAACGCCAGATGAAATTCCTGGCAGGTCCTTTTGATCAGGCGGTTTTCTTCTTCCGTTAAGAACCCGTCTATCCCTATCTTCATTGTGTCCGCTACCTCATCTGGTATCCGATGTCCCTCCGTCGCCCTATTTCTCGGATCACTCGAAGGACCTCTTCCTCCTTCTTCATAGCCTCTTCCTTTGATGTCTCTAGCAGGATCGAGACCGGTTTTGCTTTCTTCCCTACCGGCTTGTACTTTCGAACACTTCCTTCCGGGATCTTTCTCCTAAAAAATGAACAATCGGAATTGCCCCCGTCACCTCTGTGACTCGTGGTTCAATACTAACTAATTTCCCATTCAGGCAATACCCCTTTTGCACCTCTCTTTCGAACTTGGCCAAGGCTGCCGAATCCACCCCTACCTTGTGGTATCTGAGGGCCTTGATGAGTTGCAATAGATCGGGGATCTCGAGTGCGATTTCCGGCATGTCTACGCGCACTTCTTTCCGTTTGGGCAGGCTAGCACCTAGTTCGACCTCTGACTCCTTTTCTGCTACCATAACACCTAGGACTTCGTCCTCCTGCCTCCTCTTCTTCTGGGGCAGGCCCATCTTGATCCACTCCTTCTTGTTGAACACTTCCTCAATCATGATTTCTACCCTTTCTCTCATACCCTCCATCCGTGCGAAAGCCCCTTTTCGCGTGCTATCCTCGAATGACGGTGACCATGTTGTGAATTTCCCCTTCGGGGGGTCTCCTCCCGTTCCAAGGAGTCGAAGGAACTCTCCCTGGCCGGTCACGGGATCCTCTATGTCTATCATGTACGAACCATCGTGCAAGTGCATGCCTATCATCTCTATGTTCGCGCACCACGGCCTTTCGAGAATAATGTCGTGGTCCATTTCCTCCATTACGGTCATCCGCTGAAATGACTAAATCGATTCCCGGACTCCCGCCTTCACGGCGCACTTCGTGACGTACCCAGCGAACGGGATTTCCCCGCCAACTCCCCGGATGCTCCCGGTTACTTCCATGTTTACCGTACATCCCGTGATCGTCGCGAAATCTCTTCTTATGAGAGTGATTTCCTCTCCCCCGTCTACTAATGCGTCAGTATGATGACTCCCGATCTGTACTTTCAGCTTCCCTACGGGCAGTGCATGAAAGCTAAGCTTTGTCCCGGGTGGTGACCTCATGACCTTGCTGCCCTCACGATCGGGCAAGCTCAAGCGGATGTCTGCAAAAGCTTTTTCGAGATCCTCCAAGTCCCCGCGACTCCTCTGAAGGTTAGCCACTTCTTGCGGAGCTTCCTCCTCCTTCTCCCCCTCCGGTAACTCGGGGTTGTCGCCTATTTCTACTCGCCTCCGAGTCAACAGTTGTCTAAGACCTTTGAGCAACCTAGGACTAGCTTGCAGCATGGTCTGGAAAGACACCAATACCATGGTTCCTAGCAACTTGCTAATGGTGTCGTCGATCTCTGGCGAGTTTAAGATCGGGATCTGATACCGAAACTTCTTCTTAGCGGCGGTAACCTTGTCTGCAGGCTCCTCTTCCCTAGGCTTCCCATAGACTTTCTCCGGTTCCTCGGCCTCAGGCTCTGCCTGGGGTTCGGAGCTTCCGGCAACCTCCTCCATAATGGCATCACGGTTTATCCTTCTTCCAGCCCTCCCTAGTCGAGTGGTTGCGTTTACCCTATCACGTCCATCGCTTTTCAAGATAAAGTTGACCTGTGGCCCCCGGCCCCGCTGTTGATCCCAAACGATGTCGACCACCGGCTCAGCTTCTACGGTTGTTATCTCTAATCCGTTGAGCATGATAACGACTCTTCGCATTCCCCCTGGTGAGTTCCAATTCACCCGCTCCCCCTGTGGTCCGAATATCTCTCCCTTTAAGGACCTGGTGCATCTCCTTTTTAAGATATCATGGTTGAACTTTGGACATGCGCGTACATAATGTCCCATCGTGGTACAATACTTGCATTGCTCGTTAGCGGGATCTCTCCGTCCGAATCCCCGGTTGGCTATACCTGGCGGAACCACAGCTTCCTGGGGAGGGAGGGCGGGTCGGGACACTTGCGCCTGCATAACTAGTAGTGCGCTCTCCATCTTCTCAATTTTATTGTCAACTCCGTGCACCCGCTCATGTAGGCTTTCAATCCCCTTCTTTACCTTATCGCCTGTTCTACCAGTCAGATCTATGACCTCCCCTTCTTTAAGCAAGGCCAATGTCTCCGTCACTACTGTCTTTTCGACTAGATCCGTTACCGTACTACAATCAACATCCCGCGTGTTTACGAACTTGTTCGTCTGTTGATAAGCTGACAGGATCTTGTCTTTGTCGAACTCGGAGAACTGCCTGATGAAATATTTGCTCATTATTCGGTCCGTAACCCCGGGGATTCTCAGTGCTACCAAGGTAAACTCCCGTAGGAAGTCATTGTACGTTGCGAAGTTCTTCCTCTGGACTGCCGCTAAATCGGCCTCCGTTGCCATCTTTTCTGCTGCCAGATACTTTCTCATCATTACATCCCGAGTTTCTTTCCAAGACCGGCTCGCGGCCACAATGGCCATTATGTCCCGCCCTAGGCTCAAAGACATGTGCTGCCCCAGGTGGTCCATCTTCTCTTCTTCGGTCCATTTCAACAACGCAACCAAATTCTCATAATCTATCAGGAATTCTGTGACGTTCGCCCCATCAAACGTCAACTTTTTCTTAGCATCCGCTAGGTAGCCTTGATTTTTGGTTAGTGCTTTCGCGAGGGGACGACACTACCTTCTTAAGGCTGCCCTCGGAGCTGCTGGCTTCGCATGCCATACTATTATCCGGACGTTCCTTGTCGACTTTCTGTTCTTCCTTGGTTTTCATAATTCATTCCGGGTCAAACCATCCCAACACTCTTTCCCTAAGGCTCCAAAGTCCTTCGCATCCTCATGTTACTGCCGGCGTGGTCGTCAGGCGGCTAGCCCTACTATCCATGGCTGGCGTAGTCGTAGCCTTCGCTGCTTCCATCCCCGGAGAGTTTTATCTCTCTTTCCTTCTTTTGCTCGGCGTTCCCCCACGGTCACTACCTTTATCTTTTTGTCCAGTCCCTCTTCGGCCGACTCTCCGTTCGTCCCGGGGTTCCTCCTGCAAAGGGTCTTCTTCATTCTCAGTCATCATTTCCTCAATCAATCTTGCCTTGTATTCCACGGTCCTCTTTTCTATTTCGGTTAGTTTGCGCCTTGCATTCGCGACCCTTACTTTCTTAGACACGACTCTTTCTGAATTTCGGGGGCTTGTCCTATCCTTATTTTTGCCCTCCTGAGTCTTCTGAGTCCCTTGCCTGCTTCCCCCGGCTTTCCTCGAACTTTCTTCTGTGGATATTTCCTTCCGGTTTCCTTTGGTACCATCCGGGTATATCGACTCTCTGTCCTTCTGCCCCCCTTCGCTTTGTGCAGCACTGCCTCCTAAGCCTGGTTCTCCTTCATTCTTATGGTTATCTGTCTCCTCATGCGTTGTCATTTTGCCTAGCTCTGCATAAGCCAAAGAATTTCCAGGACACACGCAATGCGAGGCTCTTAGATCCCCTAGCCCCCCGGCTCAATTGACTTATCTTTGTAGCCCCTTTTCCTATCCCCTTTTCCTGACTGCCCTTCCTTAAGGAGGAGCCGCGACTGGCTCTGCCGCCCATCCGGCCATGAGTGTGACTTGGCTTCATTTGTCACAGGCTCGTTTGTAGTGCCCTTGTCCCGCCGGCTGATGCGAGGGACCCCAGGTTAGGCACTCTGCTAGAGAAAGTCTTCCCGAGCAGTGTTTCCTAATTCTGACCTTCAGGGTTATGGTCAATCGTTAGGCGTCTACCCCCTTCTTCGTTTTTTTTTTTTTTAGTGGGTCTTAGCCATCCGGGTCCGTGGTCCCTTTCTTATTCTCATTGGTGAGCTCCCGTACGCAGCGAACTATACTCGATATGCCCTATTGGCCTGCTTGCGGATGCTAATCCTGCTCCCGCCCTCGCGGCTCTTCTGGTTCGGTCGGCTCCTCGAATAGTTCAACCACCCCTGCTAAATAACTTTCTCCTATCTCAATTTCCCTCCTGATTATGCGTTCACATCCCGCCCAGTCTAGCCATGGCGCCCTCATCAATAGGGTGTAGATGACTTCTAGTAACTCATGGGCCCTGTTGCCCCAGAACGGCCCATGTTCCACAGCGATATCGTAGAGATCCCGATGGTCAGAGGGGGAAAGTGGTTTGCGCACACTATTACGGAGTCTGCCAGCTCCCGCGCCCTTGTGAGGCTCCCGAAGACGAGATCTATCATAAAATGAGGAACCCGGCACCTCAGCGGTGTGGTTGGTGCTCTGAATTCCCTCCAACCTCCCATTTCCACCCAGGTCAGTAACCCCATGTTGCTTCTATCTCTGACTAATTGTCCTATCCGGGTCAACGTCCGGGCGGCCCTCCGAAAAACTGGTGCCAACTCATGATCTTGTGCTATCTCTACCCCCAACGAGTGCCAGTCAATCTCAGGCAGATACATGGTCCCGGTAACTTCCAGATTGGAGTACAGGTCGTCTCCCGGTCCACGATTGAGTCTCATCCCTGTCCACCGACATTCTACCAACATGAAGGCGGCGTCCCGTCCCAAAGTCACAGCCCGCCATTCTACGCCGAATCCCCAATAGGTAGAACTCGACGGGAAGGATACTTCCCATTGCCCACCACTGTTCAAAGGTTGTCGAGGGTACCGGGGCTGACGTTCTCTCCGCACACGGGGCTGGCGTTCCATTTGCTCACGTCTTGCTGCCATCGTTGCCTTGGTGATTCCCTGCATAGTCCACATAGAAAGAGTTATACCCAATCCCCAGAAACCGTCCACCTACCGCCTCCCTAATCCCTCGTGTTCTCATTCCTCTTTTCTGGTCCCAACTATCCTTCCATACCCCTGGGAGTAGCCGCCCCTTCTGACAGTTCGTATAGCCGGTAGAGGTCATCTACGTAGGTCGCGCCTCGACCTACCTCCTGCCGGATAACTCTCCACATGGCCTCATCACTTATTTGTGGAATTCCTGGCCTAGTATTTACTACTGCTCGTAGGATGCAAAACACCTATCGCTCTTGTTCCTCCCCGAAAGGCCCCATCTCTAGGAAGGCCCGATAGTATTCCCGATACATTAGTGCACAGTCAAAATTTAGCCTAGTTACGGTAGTCACCGCCTGCTCCACTTGCTCTGTGCCTGCCATTCGTGTTAGCAGAAAGGGTGGTAGATTCATCCGTACGACCTCATTTGGCAGCTCAAAACCCCCAGCCGCGGCGACTTTTACCTCAGCCGTCACGTCATCTCGTTTCGGATTTGCAAACTCAAACCCCTCCCGCCAGGTCATTTGCCATGCCCCTTCGAACATTCGTACGGGGTCATCCCCGGAAGCCAAAGCAATCCCAAAGGTCCGCCATCCCATCCCTTCCGGGGCGGTTCAAGTCCAGGCCCCCGAGCTCCCCTCTCGCACGCCATTCCAGCTTCACTACTAGGTACACCCCATCTTCCACCAACTCTACCCCCACCCAGTCCATTACCGGATTGCCTATCGTATTTCTTGCCGGCAGGCTTATTTCAACCCTGCCTTCTGATATTCTTGGTGGCAGGATCCCATGAGGTCTATCCGCCCAGAACGTCATTCGCCGGACCATCTCGCAATGTCTCCTTTCCCGCTTTCTTAGTCTGATTGCTGCACCCACCGAGATTCCACGCCTTTCGTGTTTTAGTCTTTCAACCCCCCCCTACTTATCGGACACTGGTTCTTGCCGCTATCCCGTTTCCATGTCTGCCTTTATTTTGGCCTCCTCTCGTCCCTTGCTGACTAATGTACATGCCCCTTTCTTATGTTACATCCTAAATCACATGCATCCTTCATACTCCGTCCTTTCCGTGGCGCTCGAACTTTGAACCCTTCTAATCAAACCACCGCACCTCAAACAGCAAAAAGACATCGTCCACATAGGATGGCGCGGCTGCCGCCTTCCGGCTAACTATGGCGTCCCAAGCTTCCGCGCTTACTTCTAGGCGGTCATACTTTCCTATCCTCAGGATGGTGATGACCTCACCGGCCTTATCCTCGTAGAAGGACCCATACTTTAAGGAGAACCTATAGAACTCCTCGGTCAGTCAGGCACATTCTATGTGTACTTTCCTCATGGAGTCGGCTACGTCTGCTATGTGCTCAAAACCCCCGAACCAGTCGGCCACGAACTCGGGTACCCAAGCTGTTACGCGCAGGCAGGGAGGCCTGAGTTCTTTCTATCCTCCCATCACAACTTTGCTGCTAACTTCGTCCCACCCCTCATTGGCGAATCTCTTGCCTTCCTTCCGGGTTCGCACCTCTGCATCCCCTAGAAGCCACATCGGGTCCTGCCCCATGGCTAACATAGTGCAAAACAGGTGTCATCCATCCTCGGAAAGGACAATCGTTCCGACTGACTCCACTTTGCCCTCTGCTAAATCGTCCCATCCTTCCTCTTCCCTTATCGGGTTCCAGATTCGTTCTATCCATACATACGATAATCCCCGAGCAACCTCAAACCCAACCCAGTCGCACGTGGTCCCTCTCGATTCGTTTTCTGTGGGTATAGACATCTCTACCCCTGCCCTGAGTCATCTTGGTTCCCATTCCTTGAAGGCGTATTCCATCATCCTTTCCTCTCTAGTCATTTCCCCTTTTCCTGCACAATACCAGGCCACCCGTCCTTCCTACGTTAAGTCACCCCGTCTCTCTTAGAATTCCCAGTCTTCCATCTCATCATCGTCGTCTTCATCACTGAAGTCGTCCTCCTCGCTGTACAATAACCCCTTCACCCCATCCAGAAACGTCTCCCCTATTGCCACATTCCTGTAGACTATCCCCCAATGCACAGAGCTAGGGACAAAGATATTGTCCATGCTAAGACAGTTTAGTATCTCGGCCAGTTCGTCCGCCCAGTTTCCCTCAAACGGCCCCATCTCTACCGACAACCGAAAAAAAATATTGCCTAGCGTATTGGTATAGCCCGAGGTTCGTCATGGACTGGCATATCCGTGCTAGCCTGCTCTGAGTTCCGAAAACCGCATCCACTAGGAAGGGAGGCAGCACACATCGCATGGTTCTTACGGGTCGCCTCATGCTTCCTCTATCCCCAAGTTCCACCCGCACATCTACCCTTTCCATTTCCTTCTCCCATCGCTGACATGCAGCCCACACAACCTCCGCTTCCGCCTTCCTAAACAACTCGTCCGGCCTATTCCCGAGTGCCAACTCTATGACCATAGCATTTTTCCCATCTTGCGACAAGTAGACCCACCCCCGAGCTTCCACTGTTCCCCGGAACTCCAAATCCATTAAACTTGGCGACAACCTTGTCAAGCTAACATTAAGCCCATATCGTCTCTATCCATAGGAACGCGTCCTCCCCTTCCAACATCACGATTTGATATGTCGGTTCAAGGTCCGTCCACACCCCATCTTCCGGGAGGACGACCGGCACCCCATCCATTACATCTACTGGCATCTCTGGGCCGCTGGTATAAGTCGGGGAAGGCAACCATCGCGCCATCTTGTTTTCAGCACCCGACCTCTGTTTTCATAAAAAGAGCATCCACCGGTCCTTTTGGTCAGGTCAACC